CTCCGTGAGGAGGGGCTGCAGCCCTGCCTGCAGGCAGAGGACAGGAGCCGGAGGTGGCTGCAGCCCCTCCTCCCACCTGCTAAGCAGTCTCCCTGTACTTCCCTGCGTGCGTTATCAATCACCCACGTGTCCCTGTGCTCCCACTAGGTCTTCCTCCCTTGTCCTGAGAACGTAGCCAGATTCTTTGCACCTCCTCTTCGTTGCTTTTGCAGGGTGGAACGCAGCCTGCTTAAGGACAGCCAGGCCTCTGGGTCCTCTGTTGAGAGCTGGGGTGAACTGAGATGAGGCCCAGGGTTTTGGCGGAAGAGAGGGAGAGGAAAAAGGGGAGAGGTCCCAGAAGACAAGAAGGGAACGAAGTCCCTGGGCCCGTGAGTGGTGCGGGCCGTGCCCTGGTCCTGGCACAGCACTGGGGGTGAGAGAAGCTCCTGGGGGAATGGCTGCGTGGGGGTCTGGGGAGGCCGGACACTGGCGTCCAGGCTCCCGGGGAAGGTCCCTGTGCCTGGGCCCAGAGGCCAAGACCGCTGGGCTCTCATCAGCACAGCAGAGTGGGCGCGACCTGCAGCCCCACCCTGAGTGTCTGGCACTGTGAGAGACCCCAGGACCTGTGCCCGACACTGGAGGGGAACAAAGCATAACAGCCACAGACTGAATCCCCCAGCTGGTGGGGGGAGACTCAGTCTGATCTAACTCCATGAAGAGACAGGAGAGAGATGTCCATTTCGTCACGCCCGGTTTTGTGATGGCAGATCCATACCTGCTCCTGTCCGTTGCCGGCTCGGCTCCCTTGCCTCATCCCTAACTCAGGGACGTTCACGAGGAAGAGCACAGAGATACGTGTGGAGGCAGGAGGGCTGGGTTCCTGCTGGGGACCTGCCGTGCGACCTTGCGTAGATTCTTGTTCCACGGACTAGGGAGAGAATGGACCAAGGCACCCCCGCCAGCTGAGCTGGGCCTCTGGGTTTCCACTGAACCATGGTCACTGATGAGTGAGGAGGCTGGGACCAGAGGGGCAGCTGGTTCCTCCAAGTGTGCAGAGCCAGAAGTGGCAGAGCAGGACTCTGGTTAGGGGTTCGGAGCGTAAACTCTGGAGCCAGGCTGCGTGGGTTTGAGGCTGGCTCTGCCATGTATCAGCTGGGTGACTTTGGGCAAGCCGCGTAAATCAGCTGTGCCTCCACTTCCCAATCCACAGAACAGGTACAGTGCTAGCGTCTGTTCCATGGAGGGACTGAGGGTTCAGGTCAACGAGTGCTGAGCACTGAGGTGCTGCCTCGTGGAAGCAGTGCTGTTGGCTGCCGTTAGTCCATGCCCCCGTCTGACGCCGTTCTCACCACCTCAACTGCCCTCACAAAGCTGGCCTCGCCGAGAAAGCCCCTTTGCCCTGGATCCAACAGTGCCCATCTCTGCAGATGGCCGAGGGCAGGGACCCCCAGGTGGAAAAAGGCTCTGCTGAGGGCTGTGCCCTGTGTCCCCACAGCCTTCCCGGGAGAGGGAGTGGGGACAGAGGGGAGAGCTGTAAACAGAGCCCTCTTCCTCTTACCCTCAGATCCCAAAATAACACTGCAGAGCTGCAGCCTGCGTCAGGTGCCATTTAAAGATACCCTGGCCCTCCCTGTCTGCCCCGCCGGCCGTGCCAGGCTCCTGAGGCCAGGCACTGGCGGCCTGGACTGCTGCTGCCCCCACAGCCACACAGGGCAGGCTGCTTGCAGGTGCCACCCCAGCTAGCCTGGTTACCACCCCCCTTTCCTGAGGCCCAGGCTGCCTCAGTTCTGCCCAGACTGCCCTGGGACTGCAAAGAAGCACAGGCCTGGCGTTCCGGGGTAGGTAATTGTTCAAAGGCAGTGCGGAGGACCCCTCTGGGGAGGAGTGCTCCTTTCCAGGAGCCCGAGCAGCAGTGAGGCTGGTCCCACTGGCCTTCACCCACCCCTGGAACCCCCCTCCCCCCCCGCAGAGGACAAACACAGGAGACACTGATTTACAGCAAGAAGGACTAAAGCTAGACACCAGGAAAACCATTCTGATGCCAGAGAAATGTTGGTTTATTCTGGGGCATTGGGAGCCAGGAGACCTGGGTCCTTTCGTCCCCAGTGAAGCCATGAGAGCTGGGCCAGGTCCTGGCGCCTTCCTGGGCCTTGTTCTCCCCAGCCACGGACTGCGAGGAGAACGGTGTGTCCGTGGCTGCCTGGAGTGGGTGTAACGAGATCACATCAGACAGAGGAAAGGACTCAGGGTCCTTGGAGGAAAGAAATGTGTGAGGACTGGTCTGGAGGAGCCCAGGCCTACGGGGAGGGCGTGGGCGGGGTGGCCTGCAGGGCCCTCTTAAAGAAGCCAGCAGAGGAGAGGACGGGAGTCACCCTCATCTCAGAGTGACTCAACACAACCCCCAGGGCAATTCTCCCTCTGGAGGATGGAGGCTCCAGGCCCTGGGCTGGGAAGGCAGGGGGCCTCAGGAGTGCCCAGGCTCTCAGTCCGCTGGATTTGAAGAGCCTGAAAGGGTTTGGGAGGAGCCCTGGCTGGTCACTCAGCCCCGCAGTGAGATGACTCAGCAGAGCCAGGCCCAGCCCAAACTGGGTCACAGCGTGGGCCTAGCCCCCTCCCCCACTGCCCTTCCCCACCCCAGCAACCCCACTACCCTCCGTCCCACACAGACTCCAGCTGGGGATAAGGGCTGGGCGTCTGTCTCCTGAGTAGATGCTCCATATGCCCGGATGGCACGGAGCATCACACACTATGTTTAGGGGAGGCAGGTGGTGCAGTGGAAGAGACTGGGCTCTGAAGTCCCCGAAAGCCCGATTTCAAACCCCAGCCGTGTGAGCTGGGAGAATTAACTCCTTCCGACTTCCGTGTCCTCATCTGTAGGATGGGACAAACTCATTGCCGTGTTAGCTGCTGGTGTTCTCATTCCCATGTTCCGGGGAGAGCCTGCCATGGGCAGAGTCCATATTGTGTCTCCTCTGGTCACAGATTACTGTCTGCCTCCCCTTTTCCAGGAGCATGCCTCTCCCCTCCCTGGGGCCGGGAGACTGGCGGGATCAGGGGAGGGTGTTCCTGCATGCCCTGGCCCGGAGAAGGCCCAGTGAAGCCCCTGCAGGCCTGAAGATGTGTACACCCACCCTCAGGACCCCCAGCCCCTCCCGAACCCTCCACCCAAGCCTCCTCCTCACTCCCCAGCTCTCCGACTCCAGGTTCCAGCATCCCCTGCTGGGGAGTGCCCGCTCCCGGGCGCTGCCGCCTCTCTTCTCCCGCCTGCCCACAGCCCACCCTCACCCTCCGTCCTGGTCGAATCACCTCCCATCCCGCAGGCTGAAAAGTCATCCTAGGATTTTACGATTAGAAGTCCACTGACGATGTTGGTGAGAGCGAGGTGTCATGGCGAGCTGAAAGAGTTGACCAGGGGCACCAGCCTTGAGGGGACTGGTGGAGAAAAGCAGGAGGGTAGACAGAAAGGGATGAGCTTTGGGAGGCATGGAGTTTTGTAGCAATTTAAAGGGGAGATGTGAGGTTTTGTCTGTCTGTGGGGAGGAAGCTGGTGAGGGAGGAGGAAGTAAAGGGCTGAAGGGCAGGGGTTAGGAAGAAGAGAGGTCAGGTGGCCCCAGGGTCTGCGTGGGAGCGTAGCCATGGTGACAAGAGAGACAGCCTTCCATCTGAGAGCCAGTCAACCAACATGACTGAGTGCCTGTGGCGAGGCCGCTTGGTCCTGCACCGTGGAGCCTGTGGTCAGGGAAAGGGACGACGGAGGAATGAGCACGCTGTCTGGGGTGGCGGCCTGAGGGATGCTGCTGTGCTGCTGCGTTAGCCCTGCCCTGCATGGGTGCATCAGACGGCCAGCACTGTCCTGGGCAGGAGTGGTCCTCCCCTTCCGCCTGCTCTGCCGGGGGGCTGTGCCAGCACCCCCAGGGCCCAGCATGGGGCAGCTCCTCCCTCACCTTCCCTTACCTGCTGAGATTCTGCTGGGCCTCCTGTGCCCCGCCCTGGTCCCCTCACCTCAGAACCCCAGAAGGACTCCCTGTGCGCTGTTGAGGATGGGGAGCCACCTGGCTTGAGGGCACTCGAGTCCTGCCGTCACCTCTGCCCTTTCCCTCCAGCCAGTCCTTTAACTCCCCCATGTCCTAGTTTCCCTGTCTGTAAAATGGGGTTGATAAGAGCACCTGCCACCTTCGCTTGGCTGGCGGAACTGAGGAGGGCTCCAGTGAGGGGAGCTTCCAAGGGCTTTGGAAAGGGCTGGACCTGGCCAGGGGGGAAGGGAGCCTTTTGATTTCCCCCTGGTCTGACCTGTGGTCCTCGTCAGGGTGGAGCACAGTCCCAGACACTCGGGCTCACTATGTGCAGAGGTGACTGCCCCCACCATAAAACACTGTCTCCACTGCCATTACCCCGCCCTCCCTAGGCCCTCCTGGCTAATGCAGCAAGTCTGCCGGAGTGCTCTGCGAGGAGAGGGGTTTTCACGGGGAAAGGGGTCTATTTCTAACTGGATGGGCCCCAGGTGGGCCTGCCATCCCCAGCGCTGAGGCCATAGGCTGGTGCGTGCCAGCGCTGTCCACTCGGAGGGGAAGTGGCCATCTCAGAGAGCCAGTGCAGCTGGCAGGGTCCAGGCCTGTGGGCAGGGCCGGGGACAAAGCCGCTCTGAGCTGCCCGTCAATGGGCGCCTGTGTTCTGGGAGTGGGGGCGGGGTGCTCCCGCACCACCCCCTCCCCCCGCAGGACGTCCTGGGCTGGACACTGGACAGAGGAGGTCCCGCACGGGGGAAGGGCCGGCCCTGCCCCTCCGGGGTTGGCCCATGTGCCTGGGCATGAGGAGATGGCACCAGGATCAGGGCTTCTGGGGACCGGGATGCTGATTGGGCCCAGGCGGGGGGCGGGCCCACGCCAGGCCAGGCCTCCCCGGCGCAGAGCCGGCGGCCTGCAGCGCCCGCCCCCGGTGGTCGGGACGGGAGGAGCCCCGTAGAGCGGGGACCCGGGCGCAGGGCCGCGCCGGCCGCGGAGGGGCGCGCGGGTGGACGTCGCCGGCGGGTGGCCGGGGCGGGGCGGGGCGGTCGGCGCGTCGGGGGCAGGGTCCCCGAGGACCGGCCTCAGTCCCGCCCTCGGAGGCGGCGGCAGAGGAGCCGCAGCGGCGGCCGGCCGAGCCCGTCCTGCGCCGCTGCTCCTGAGCCCTCCCGGTCCTGCGCCCCCGCTCCCGGTCCTGCGCCCCCGCTCCTGGCGGCCGGCCTCGTCCCCCGCCATGCGGCCCGCGGGGCTGTGTGGGGCCGCGCCGCTCGCTGTCGTCGCCCTCCTGGTGCTGGGGGTCCCCCCAGGTAAGGGGTGCGAAGGCGGCTGCGGACGGGGAGGAGGAAGGGTCCGGGGCGCAGGGACGGAGGCCCCCACCGTGGAGACACGGGAGCTCTCAGGCCCCGGGGGCGAAGGGGCCGAGGACCATCGGGGGAGGATGGCCAGGGAGCCGGCCTGGTGGCCACTGGCGCCCGCCCCCTGCCCGCAGCGCTGGCCGGCGAGGACTGCCTGTGGTACGTGGACCGCAACGGCTCCTGGCACCCGGGCTTCAACTGCGAGTTCTTCACCTTCTGCTGCGGGACCTGCCACCAGCGGTACTGCTGCCGGGACCTGAGCCTGCTCATCACCGAGCGACAGCAGAAGCACTGCCTGGCCTTCAGGTGGGCTGCCCCCACTCCAGAGGGCTGCCGGGCCTGCCCCCCCTTTGTCCACTGGGCTCCGAGCCCAGCCGGGGACTCCAGCTTGGTGACAAAGCCAGCCGTGAGTGCTGAGGCTTGGGAGTTCCAGGAAAGGCATCTTGGTGGCCATCATAGGCTTGAGCTGGCCGAGGTGTCCAGGTTCTTTCTGGAGCCTCTGCCTGGTGGGGTCAGATCGTGTCGGGGGGAGGGTGCAAGGTCAACAGTGCAGTGTGGCTTTGTGGAGGAGCTCTGGCAGGAGGACTGGAGCTGCAGGCATGGTTCCCAGGTGTACGTCCCATGTCCCACCAGCCGTGCGATCCTGCGGAAGGCTCTTCCCCTCGTGGGTCATGCTTTCCTCTTGGTAAAATGAGGGGTTGCCAAAATTAGTGGTTTCCAAACTTCTTTTTGAAGGGGACCGCTAATATATAAAACAGGTATGAGGACACTGTGACTGCAGTGGGCTGTGGAAGAAAGCTATAGATTATTTCTAAGGCGCCTTTCAGTTGTAAGTCTAACCAATCAAGCTGCAGATGGAAGAATGGGGTGGGGGGCACCCCACACCCCTGCCAGGCAGCACAGCCCCAGGGGAAGTGGGGGTCCCCTAAGAGCTCCTCCACAGGGACCGGGCAGAGCCCCACAAGGAACCCCAACCTTAGCTGCTGTGGCCCCTGCTGGCCAGGAGCAGGAGCACAGCTTTATGGTCAGCATCCCGAGGACGCCCTCCCACGAGTGTTGGAAGGTGACAGGACCTGTCCTTTGTCTAAAGTCCCAAGACCATAGCAGGCATCGCCTCGGCTGTCATCCTCTTCGTGGCTGTGGTCGCCACCACCATCTGCTGCTTCCTCTGCTCCTGCTGCTACCTGTACCGCCGGCGCCAGCAGCTGCAAAGCCCGTTTGAAGGTATGCACGGGCCTGGGCCCCAGGGGGGCACCAGAGCCCTCAAGAGTGTGAGCTCTGTAGAGGGATATGCTTCTGTGTACACACACCTGCCAGCATGAGACCCCAGAAATAAGAATGCGCCAGGGGCACATGTGAACATGGCACCGTGGGTACGTGTACGTGCACGCACGTGGATCCTCAGAAGTGCACGGTGAGCGTGTGGTGTGTGCAGTGGGTGTATGCATGCACGTGACTCTGAGTGAGTACATGGGGGGTGTGTAGTGGTGAGCAGTAACGGGGTGTGCTCCAGCACATGGAATGCATGCCTGAGTGTTGCCATGTGACTGCATCTATGCCCAAACCTGAGGGGCATGGGAACGGTAACACACGGGGGATATGGGGAGGACCCCCTTGGTGGCAGCTCTGCTAGATTACAAGATACCAGCCGCTGGAGCTGCCCTCCCCTTGCCCACATGGGACAGTCCCCCGGCTGTGCTCTCGGGCTCATGAGGCCTCTGAAACCTGCTGAGGGGATAATGTGCCCAACACAGACTGGACCGCTGGGCTCACGGGCACAGCTCCCTGCTCAGCTCTGTCAAGCGAGGTCTGGGAACAAAGGCAGCAGGTGGCCAGCCTGGACCCTGCCAGAGGCCCACGCCCAGGGGTGCCTACTGTGTTTCCTGGGCAGGAGGAGGGGGCTCCCCGTGGAGGTGGAGCTCTGAGTGCTGCTCCTTGTCCCCCACCTAGGCCAGGAGATTCCCATGACAGGCATCCCAGTGCAGCCAGTGTACCCGTACCCCCAGGACCCCAAAGCTGGCCCTGCACCCCCAGAGCCTGGCTTCATGTACCCACCTAGTGGTCCTGTTCCCCAGTACCCAGCCTACCCGGCTGGGCCCCCGATCTACAACCCAGCAGGTAAGTGAGCCGTCTGGAGCCCCAGCTCCTGCTGCCCCCACTGCTGCACTGGGACCTCCCTGCCCTCTCCCGGGTGGGCTTCCTCTGCCTCCAGCTGGAAAGCTCCAGTTGTCTCTTCCCCATGGACCCTGCATGCCCCGCGGTTGGGGGTTACTTCACAGCCTCCCATGCCACCCCTGACCCTCCTCCTGTCTCCTTGGCTTTCAGCTCCTCCCCCCTATATGCCACCACAGCCCTCCTACCCTGGAGCCTGAGGACCCGGCCGTGTCTCTGCTGCCCCTCAGTCAAACCCTCCTGCATCTGCGGCTGGCCCTGGGGGTGGGCAGGGGTCCTCCATGCTCCAGGCCCCAGACCAAGCCCAGCCCTGAACATGAGAGGGGACAGAGCCCCGGGAAGCAGAACGGGAGCTGAGCTGGACCTTGGCCGTGAATGGAGGGTGGGGGGCGCTTGGGATTGGTGGACTATTTTTACTGGGGCAAGGGAAGGACATGAAAGGCCGGGTCACAGCCCCTGCTCTCTGATAGTCCCTCCACTCCCAGGAGCCCCACAGGAAGGCCGGGGCCCCCCGACTGGCCTGCTGTGGGCTGGGGTGGGGTGGAGGGGGCTCCATCAGCAGTGGGCAGAAGCCCCACCTTGCTGCCCCACTGGCCAGGGCTTCGGCCTGCAGGATTAAAGCTGTAAAGAGGTCACTCCGTCGTCGCATCCTTGGGCCCGTCCACACTGGCAGAGCACGCCCTCACCCACTTCAGCGGAACCACCCCGGATGGCTCCTGGGGCTGGTTCCCAAAGCCAACGAGTTGGATTGGGCCACCCCCGGAAGAGGATGGTTGTCTGCATCACAGACAGTCCCCGCTAGGGGCCAGCGCCACCGACAGCACAGAAGCTCCCGGACCCGCCGTCTCCCTGAGTCCCCGAGTCTCAGTTTCCTCGTCTACGGAATGGGGGAACGCCTCGGGGCTGTCGTGAGGGTGGACTATGTCCATGAAACTGATGGTCTTTCCTTCCCTCCTGATGGAGGGCTAGGTGGGGACCGGGCCGCCGAGAGACTGGGGCAGGGGCTTCTGTCCGCTGCTTGGGTCATCAGGGGACCCTAAAGCATTAGGTCCCCCAGGCCAGTGTCCGCCCCCCCCCCCAGAACTGCCTGGGCATCTAGCCAGACCCTCTCCGCTTGCCCTGCTCCCCGAGGACACGAGGACATGAGGACACGGTCCTTGAGCTCCCAGGACTTGTCTGGCGACAGGTCCAGGGAAGGAAGTTTGACGGTTTTTCATTCAAGTATGAAGAGTGCCACCCCCAACCACCTGGCTCCTCCTCCGTTGTCCCCCAGCCCCTCCCCCCTTCCCTTTGGTTGCCACAGGCCCTCTCTCCTGCCTGCCCTCTCAGGTTTCCTCAGGCTTCTGGGCTCCTGCAGCCCTGTCTTCCCGCTGGGTTCTGGATGTGGCCCTTGTGCTAACCACACCCCCAGGGCCCTCTGCCACCTATAGTATCCAGGAGGCTCTTGTCACACAGCCCGGAGGGGGAGCTCCTGGGCCAGCTGCTGCAGGAGCCGGGGGCAGAAACTGCCCCTGTGGGCAGAGCTCTGCCGTGGTCCACAGTTTCCTCCCTTCCCAGCGAAATCTTCAGGGGCCCTAAGTGTGCCCTGGACTGACCCAGACACACGGGAAGCTAACGCTGCTGGGGACAGAGCTGGGGCCCCAGCTGCAAATCCCCCTTCCCTTTGAGGGTGAGGCCAGGAGGCGGGAGCCAGCCGAGTGTCCTGGCTTCCAGGCTGCAGGTTCTGCCTCACGCTTTAGGAGAGGGGTCACCAGGTCATCTCTAGGTTTGGGGCCCAGTCTGAAGCTGGGAGGTACAAGAGATTTGCAGGATAAGGTTTCTGGGTTTCCCTAAGAAACAAGGTGTCAATGAATGCGAGGCCATGCCAGCCAGAATCCACAACCTGAGGCCGATTAAAAACTGCTTTGAGGTGGGAGGGCAGGCAGTTTATCCCAGCCGTAGCTGCTTCCCAGAAGGGTGGAATGCCCCCTTCCAACATTTCCAGTGAGTTACCTCTGCAAAGCCCTGAAAATGAGAGGATTCTAAGAAAAAGGAGGAAACCGTGACAGAGGGGAGCTTTCACCTGCTCCAAGCAGAGGAGGCCCCTCTCACATTTCTTTAGGTCCTTAAATAGGGCAACACCCCGATATGTCTCCCAAAGCTGCTCCCTGTGACCCCATCTCATCTGCTCATCACCAGGGGAACATAGGGCTGTACCCGCCCCTCCCGATTACCTTGGTCCTCAGCTAGGACCCCTGAAAACCAGGGAGGACCCTACAAGGGGAGGCAGGTAGAGGATGGGAAGAGCAGTGCCCCCCCCCTCAACGATTGGAGTCTCAATGGTGTAAATGGGGTCCTGCCAGGCCGAGAGGGAACACTGAGGACCGGAAGGGGAGGTCGGGGAGGCCGAGATGGAGAAGAGGAGCATTTTACACGAAAGCAAGTGGCCTCTGATCTTGGGGCAGCAAGGTCTGCTCAGCCCTGGGGGGGAGGCAGGGCTCAGAGGGGGAAGACCGGGTTCAGGTGCAGGAAGAGAGCCAGGGCAGAGGTGCGGGGGGTGGAAAACACCGAGGCCAGGAGGGGCAGGTTAGCAGAAGGGGGAGAGCTGTCGGGGAGGGGCCAGGAGGGGGACAGAAGGGAGCAGCCCGGGAGGCAGTCACTTCGGGCAAGCAGTGAGGGAGGGCGGCGGGACGGAGGAAAGGATGGAAGCCTGGGGACGGAGCCAAGGGATGGGAACCAGGTGGTAGGCCAGGGGGACAGGGGAACGCGCAGCAAGGTGGCCCCCTCCCAGGCCAGCAGCCGGCCCCCACCCCACAGGTGGGCTCAGGCCTGGAGACAGGCTCACAGGGGTGGGGGGCACATGGCTCTGCAGGCTTGGTGACCTGGGGGTCCACAGCAGCTGGGGGCAGGGGGACAGGGGTGAGCTGCACCCAGAAGAAGCCCCGAGGGGCCCCGGTCCGGCTCACGGCGCCCCCAGGCGGAGGTGGAAGGGGACAGAGGGGACCCCGAGTCACGGGGCGGCACCCGGGGGGAGCCCTTCGCCCCGTCGGCAGGAGACCTGGGTTTGGATCCGGATTCATGGACTTGTTAAGTCGTCTGCTCCCTCGAGCCTCATTCTTCCCGCGCAGAGGGCGGCGCAGGACGGGTGGGCGGCAAAACGCGGGCCCGCCGGCAGCAGGTGCCTAGGGCTCCGCGGCCATCCGCCCCGTGGGGTGGGCCGGCGCTCTGTCCCCGCACCCCTCCGCCGCTAAGGCCGCCCCGCCCCGCGCCCCCCGCACATCGCGCGCATCCCTGGGCGGCGGGAGGACCTGGCGCGCTCGGCCGCCAGGGGTCGCTGCCCCGCGTCTGGTCCGGGCTCCGGGGAGGATGACGTCACCGCGCCGGCCCCGCCCCCCGGGAGGATGACGTCACCGGGTGGGCCCCGGGCGCGGGGGAGGGCTACGGACTCCGCTGGTGCTGGGTCGGGAAAGGGGTTTTTGTTCTGCTAATCTTGTCTAAGTCTCGTAGAAAGGGCTTCCCCAGGTGACAGGTGCGCTTGGAGCCTCCGGATTTGGAGCCTGCTTGTCTAGGGCGGCTAGGAGGCCAGCACCGGCCTCAATTCAGAAATAGGGGGACCCTTCATCAAAAGTAGTTCTAGGGGCAGCCTGAGCTCTCCTTTCCCAGCTGAGTGATCCTGGACCTGTCAGTTAACCTCTCTGCGGCGAACTCGGTCTGCAAAATGGAGACAATATTGGGGTCCCCCTCAGGGAGTTAAAGGATCAGATGGGGACCCGAGGACCCGGCAGACCTGGGAGAATGGAAGCCCTGCCTGGACTGAGCTTCAGCCTGTAACAGCCTTTGGGGTCGGGGAGGGAGTGTGGCCTGTCTCCCCTCTCCTGGACCCATCCCCTGTTTAGGGCACTGGGGGACCTGCCAGTGGGTGCAGGAGGGGGCAGAGTGTGATCTTTGCTCTCGGCACTAGCCTGCCTCTGTTTCCAGCCAGACCTAGCACAGCTGTCCAGCTTCCAGGCAGGGGCACCCCACCTCCCCCCAAGCAATGGTGTTGTTCTCCCTGCCCTTGAGGCAAAACCTGGAGGCAGAAAACCTACAAGTGCTCCAGACCCCAGGTGGCAGTTCTGCAGTGCCAAGGGGGCCAGCACCTTTAAGCCCATCAAATCAGAAAGATGCCTTTGATGTATGCGGGGTGGAGGGCATGGGCACTGGCAGGTCCGGAGGGCAGCCTGCAGCTGGGCAGGGAGCGAAATCCATGAGTAGAGGAGGGGTGGGGGTGACGGGGCATGCTGGTGTGGGTGCTGCTCCCCAGATGGTCTGTCTGCTCACAGATGGCTGCCTTCCTGGGCCTGTGACTGCTGTGAGGAGCTGGCCCCGGGCCCACCACTGGGAAGAGTCATGCGATGGGCATCTCTGAACATGCCTAATATAGCCATCGCGGGGCCCTGCGCGCCACACTGCCCGTCACCCCGAGAGTGGCTCCGCCGGATGACTCCAGGCAGCAAGACCGGGCAGGAGCAGACCCTGGTTGGGGTCAGCCCTGGGCCCTCTACTCGGGTTGAGGCTTTCCCCGACCCGTCCTTTCTGCGGGTAGGAGCTTGTTCTGTGGTCAGCTGGGCATGGCAGGGAACCTGAGTGCCAGCGTCCTCCAGGCAGCCCAGGGTGAGCGTCAGACAGAGTGGGGCACAGTCGTTCACGGCTAGAGGCTTGTATATATTATCAAAATCTTATGGAAAAACAGATACACAGCTATTTATACAACAGCAGGTGGATGTGAGGCAAACTTCCGCTTTGGCATCAAACCGTCAGGTCCAGCTGCTGTCTGTCCCTCTCCCCCATCCGGAGCCCCCTCCCTGCCAGGCACTGTCCATCCAGGCCCGCCACCCCTGCCGAGTCCTCTGATTGGCCCAGGAGGGGTTTGGGGGGACCCTCAGCCCCCCTCCCTCTCCCTTGGGCCCTCATGCCCTGTCAATCATCATCGCCCCACACAGAGTGCCCCTGGCCCGGCAGCTGTGCCTCGAGGGCTCCTCAGAGGCCTGGATCCTGGCCCTGGAGGGCAGTGGGATTGAGGGCCAGGCTGAGGGACATCTCTCCTGGATCCCAGGCCTTCTGCAGCTGGCCAGCTCCACGGGCCCCGGGCACGCCGCCTTCTCAGTGACGTGCTAAAGGACTCTCCTTGTCCAGAAACCACAGCTCCATGTACAAAAAGAAGTTTTCGGAGAGCCTCAGAGACAAGAAAAGGAAAGTGAGAGGAGATAAGGCGTCCTTCCTTGAGCGTGGCCCAGGCCTCGAGCTCTCCCACGGCAGAATGAGGACAGTCACAGCAGGTCAGCCGGCGTGGGGTGGGCGGGGTCTGTGCAGCCTGGGAGGCCGGGCCTGGGCAGTCCCGGGTGGGCGGACGGGGCCTGGCAGCCTGGTCCTACTGAAGCAGCTTGGGAACCTCCACCTGTGAGGGCCAAGCAGAGACCGTTAGAGAAGGGGATCAGCAAGGGGCCCTGGAATGCTCCTGCCCTCCCTTCTGGACACCAGACACCTCAACACACGCCTGTGGAATGAATAAATAAGCTGTCAACACAGGGAGCATTTTTCCTTTTCTGTAAGAACTGAATGTCACCAAATGACCACTGGAATCAGAACGGAGGTTGTCCTTTATCTCCTGGGGTCTAGTCCCAGGTGACGTCAGGGGGTGAGCCAGGTGGGCAGATGACCATAGGAGGGGAGCTTTGGGCAGTAAGGGTCTCCAGAGATGGCTCCCGTGCCTGTGACACTGCGTAGTCGCAAGGTGACTCTCCTGAGGGCTGAGTCTCCCAAAGACCTTTGGGATGGACTGACCTGTAGGACTTGGCTGGTCCTGAGGGAATTAGGAAGACAAAGACCACTTTTGTTTTGGGAATGGAGGAGACAAGACCTAAGGAAGGCCTGAGGCAGGACTCGCTGGTCAGAGCTGTTCCTCCGTCTCTTTCCTCCTTTGTTTAGCTGCAGGGCGGAGGGAGAGGCTAAAGGAAGCTCCTTAAAGGGAGGGTAGAGTCCCTCTAAGGAAGATGGAGTGAGGGCTGCCTGGAGGCGGGAGGATGCACAGGATGACGGAAGTGCCCTTGACCTGGGAGTCCGTCTCTCACCTGCAGCCTGACACAGCGTCCCCTGCACGTCTTCCCTCCCTGCTGGGTCTCCCCCCCCCCCCCGCCCAGCCCCCCGCCCAGCCCCCGCCCTCCTGGCCCGCGGCCCACAGCTACTTACCTTCTTGAGCTGCTTGAGGTTGCTGGAGCGGATGGCAGCCAGGAGCTGGTCACGGGAGTTCTTCTCCTGGGCGGGGAGGACTCTGTCCCCCATCTTCCTCTGGGTAGCTGGCGAGAGTGAGTTCTTCAGGTTCTCCATGATGAGGGGTGGGGCCAAGGGAGGTGGAGGTGGAGGCGGGGCGGCTGGAGCGCCCCCTTTCTTGGGCGAGTTCTTGGGAGAGGCCTTTGGAGATGGCTGGGGTGAGGGTGTCGGGGAGCCCTTGGCCACGGCCCCCACCTTGGGCACCTCCAGCAGACCCTTCTTCTCTCCGCTGGCCTCCTGCGCCTGCCGCTGCTCCTGCAGCCGCTTCTGCCGCTGCTTGTCCATGTTGCGGCTGAGCAGGTTGGTGACGGTCATGCGCGGCCCGGCCAGCTCGAAGTGGTAGCCCAGCTTGAGCAGCGTGGTGTTCTCCTTGAGCAGCTTGGCGATCTCCATCTCGGTCTTGCCGCCGCAGATGTGTCTCTGGTTGTGGAAGCGGAGCTCCGTCAGCGTGTTGTTCTGGAGCAGGGCCCGGAAGATGGCCAGGATGCCTTTGCCTGTGATGTGGTTGGAGTCCAGGTTCAGGCTGGTGATCGTCTTGTTGGCCTTGAGCATGATGGCAATGGCGAAGGCCACGTGGTCGTCGGCGCGGGTGTTGGCCAAGGCGAACACCTTGACCACGGTGTTGAACTCCAGGGCCTCGGTGAAGCGCACCAAGATCTCGTTGGTGATACAGTCTGAGTTGTTGACGTTCACCTCGGTCATCTCGGGGTCGTTGTTCTTCACTTTCTCCAGAGGCTCGTCGAATATGCTGGGAGCCGCCTCCTCCTCCGTCTTGGCCGGCCCCTCGGGGGCCTGTTTCTCGGCTGTTGGGGTCCTGCTCTCCTCTTTGGGTTCCTTTCCCTTTAGGGACTCATCTTTTTTGACCTTCTCATCCTCCTTTTTCGGATCTGTGTTCCCAGCTCCTCTTTTCACCGTCTCCTCCTGCTTCCTGGTGTCTGTGTTCCTCCTGTCTCCTTTCGCCTTCTCGTCCTCCTCCCTCTTGCTTGCCTCCTTGGCCTCCCCTCTCTTCTCCTTGTCTCTGCTCAGACCTGGGCTCCTGTCACTCACCTTCTCCTCTCCCTTCCTTTTGGCCGCCGTCCCCTCCTCTCCACCCGCAGCCTTCCCCGCCTCTTTCTTATCCACTGCAGCCCTGACCCGGCCCTTGTCAATGCCCCTGATGACCTTCTCCTCCTTGGGCTTGTCACCACCCTTGCTATCAGCTTCCTCTTTGTCTCGGGAGAAACTTTTCTTTAAGACACCCTTCTTTGGCTCCTTGCCCTGGTCTGAGTCCCGCTTGGGGCCTGGGGTTTTTTTGCTGGCATCTCTGCCCCTTTCCTCTCCGTTCTTGGCATCTGTCTTGGTCTCAGCTTGCTTGCTTTCCTAAGAATTCAGAAAAGAAAAATAAACATGAAGAGCTGGCTTCAGAGAGAGAGGAATGAGTATGGGGACTGGCATTGGGGGCACTTATGTAACTTCCCTGGAGCCTCCAAAGGACAGTCTCCATGGGGGACACCCCAACAGGGACTGGGGTTCAAGCTGCAGAGAGCGGGCTGACACCAGACTCAGAGCATCAGGGTCACGAGGACCACAACGAACACCTGAGGAGGTTGTGGCATCTCCGTCCCCAGAGGGTCCTCAGACCCAGAACTGCCCTTTCTGTCATGGGTGAGTGAGAAAGGATGCTGTCAAGTGGTACCCTGCTGAGCCATGTTGGAGCTGAGACCAAAGGAAAAAGCACTAATACTGGTCCTCTCTTTATTTAACATTTTGAAGTTTGGTTCATCATTTAATTTTTTAAACATCAGTTATCTCAATCCCCGAGCTTTTGGGTGCCCCCTTGCATCCTGGTCTGGGTGAGCACCTCACCCACCTCGCCCAGCCCCGGCCTTGCTGCCAAGGGCAGGTCAGTGGTCCTCAGATGCTGGGACTTGACAGATGATACCTTTTCAAAGGAAAAAAAAATGGAGGGACCAACAGTGGGCTACTAACATTTTATTTTACCCAGGAGGGATATTTATCAATTCTGTCTGCCATCATCATCTCATTGAAGGAAGGCCCTAACAATAAAGGAGACAGAATAAAGGACGTACCTTACATCAAATACGTATGGCTTTTTGAGAAACCCACAGAATTGTCTTTACTTTTTAGTAAAACTTTGCTGGGGACCAGCCCCTTTGTGAGGACCCTGGAATCCGCTGGGACGGCCGGCCACAGGAGGACTCTGCCGGATGCGGGATCTAGGATTCTGGCTCCGCACTGACCATACAGGCCATGGGAGCGAGTCAGCAGAGCGGTGGTGGAGTGTTCCATGTAGCACTGCACCCCCGCACCGCTGCGGGGCCCTATTTCTTCCTCCATGATGTCGCGTAAAGTCTGAGCCGTATTTTGAGAGTGCCTGCCTCCCACCCCCATCGGAGGAGCCGGGGAGCCAAGAGGGTCGGCTAAGATGAGATGTTAGATTTAACCCAACTGTGATAGACACCCCAGAGCAAGGGGCACCTAAGGGAGGCTGGGATGTCCTTCCCCAAAGGGTTTTTAAGAGGAAGAGACTGTGGCCTGATTATTGTTAGGAGGGTTTTCTGTCTATCAGCTGTGCCTGGACGGGGTGTGGGAAGAGGAGGAGGAAGGTGAAGCTGCCGTCCATGTCCATGGACTCTCTGCCCTCCTGGCCCTTCTCCTCCCCGCCCCCCTTCCCAGAGGGCGCGCAGAGCAGCTTGGTCCTATGGAAACAGCTTGTACCTGTTCCACAAACACATGCCGTTGGGGACCAGCCCCGGGGCTTATTTAGCAGCAAAAGTCCTTGGCTCCTCTGCTGGAATCACGAGAGCCGGCCAAGGGGCACGGGGCCTGGTGAGACAGGGCCTCGGAATGCGGCCCTTTGCTCCTCTGCCCCACAGGCCCCCGGGGTCCGGCCGCTCTGGGGACTGGCCGGGGCTGTGGTGATAGAGCAAGGGGCAGGGAGCCCCTCTCCTGCCACTGGCTCCCAGGGACCTGGGTGTGACGCTCCGATCACCTGGCGGGGCTGGCCACCTCGCTGTTCCTTGACTGGAAACGGGGAGGGAGAGGGTAGATGAGGAAACCCCACGGGCAGCCCCCAGCACACCCCTAAGGCTCTGCCAGTTCAGCAGGGGAGCCCCCCTCGCCCCCCAGTTCAGGGCACTGTCATCGCAGACCCCACCTGCGCCAGCAGCTTGGTGGTGAAAGCTGGGGCCACAGCCTGGCCAGCGAGTCCGGCCCAAGCTGCAGAGGTCGGGCCCCCAAGGCAAAGACGCCTGCCCTCCCCTCTCCCTCCCTTCCCAAAGTGTGCTCGCCTGAGCGTTTCTCCGAGCCCCCTGGGCACTGCCCGGCTGCCCTCTGCAGAGCGAGTTCCCACACACTCAGGCCTCACGTAGACAGGGAAACGCGGGACCCAGAGAGACCAGAACTTAACCAGCTTCACCGAGCGAGTTTGGGAAAAACTGGGTTTCAGACCACATTGTCTCAGAGCAGCCATGAGTCAGTGTGACCTCTGACCTTCTCCACTGGGGCCAAGGCACCGCCTCCGCCTGCATCCCTGCTGACGCCCCGAGGCCCACAGACCCTCGCACATCAGCCTCCTCCTCTCCCCAGTCAGACCCGGCCCACTTCCAGGCCCGGGCCCCCCATCAGGACTCCTTGTTCAGCATGTTAGCCTCTCTCTGCCTTGACGCCCCAGACCCTGACCTCTGCCCTTAGTCTTTATCCAGGGCGACTCCCCATCCCCTCTTAGGGTCCTTCCTCTACCCGGGGTCCTCCGGGCTTGGACCTGCCAAGGTCTGTTCTCGAGGAGGTGTGCCAACCCTTTAAAAAGAACCTGATGAAGAACAGGCCGGGGGGTGGGGAGAGCCGGCTAACCCTGGGTTTCCTCCAGATACCCAGGAATGAGTGGGCTGGTGCTTGCTGCAGCTCCGCTCGGGCAGCCCTGGGAGCTCAGACGTTGCCTTAAAAGGAGAAGGAACCCGGAGTGCTCCCCGGGCTGGGGCTGCTGTGGAGCCCGGCTCCTCGGCACACAGCACAGCTGCCTCCCTTCTGCTTATCTGAAGGGAGGCCAGGCCAACCTCCTTGCTTCTGGAACTGGTGGTGCATCCTGGTGACCTCCGGGGGTCATTTGGGCCTGTGTTCCTGTCTCCAGGCCTCACTCGCTATGCGTCTCTCATAGCAGGAGGCCTTTAGGTCAGTTATAATGAAGAACTTCCAGAGAGCAAAGGTCCCCAGGCCTCTAGATGAGAGACCTAAGCAGCAGTTACATTTTTTCCCTTTGGGAAAAGCTTTAGGGTTCGGAGAAGCCCACAGGGGTGGTTTGGGACTCTTCCGTGGAGGCAGAGGGATGGACAGGATGACCCCTGAGAGCCTCTATCAACCTGGGACACGTCGCAGGCACGTAGCTCAGGCTCAGAGGCAAGCAGCGGCTCCTTCCTCCGTCCCCTCCTGGCCCCACTGCCGCACGACGTGGCTCTGTGTCTGTCACTTGGGCGAGGACCCAAGTTCCACGCCTTTCATATGTTCAGACGGGCCCGGGTGGCATCTTCCCGTCCCCTCGGGCCTCCTGACGCTGTTTCCTCTAGGAGTCCTGCCTGACTGAACGGAGAGGAGAGCATCTCGCTCTCTCCACTGCCAAAGGCGGGAGAAACAGAATGGACCGTCCATCCGAAAGAACTTGCTGAGGGCGAGGCCGTGGCCCAGCCCACTGGCCCTAACCCTAACCTCCCCCAGGCCATCTCTTTCCTCCCCATGACCCCTCACTGAGGAGGCACGGCCTTCCTCTCTGCAGAGGAACCCTGTCCCAGGCGTCTGCGGGCAGCAGTCTGCAACCCCCGCAGAGGAGGCACCAGGACAATGGGCGTGGGGAAGCTCATCCAGCAAGAGGTGGGGGTGCAGGATACCTAGTTCACTTCCCAGCCACCTGCCTGGGGCGGGGCAGAGCCGGGGTGGGGCAGGTGATAGGCAGGGGGTGCGCCCTCAGGTGTGACTCCCCTGCCAGGGACGCAGGTGCGCCGGTTCCTCCCCCCGAGCAGAGCGAGGAATGCTGGTTCAGAGGGTCCACGGCCAGTCTGTGCTCTGTCCTGGGGCTGCCTGGGGAGGCGTCCAGAATGCACCCGCTCAAGCTCCAGGCTGGGCCAGGACTCAGGAGACTCCTCCAGGCCCTAGCTGAAGTTCCTGAGGTCAGGTTGTATCACCCAGGAGAGCCCATGTGGCATCGCCCAGTGCTGGCCCCAAGGCTCAACCCCTCACCTCTCCCTCTGGTCTCGCACTGGTGCTCCCCACCAGCCCCCACCACGTCTCGAGCCCCAGATAGCACCCCCGCTTCTCCCAGGAAGCCAGCCCAGCCTGGCCCCACCCCCTCCAGCCACCTGGTGACCTCCTGATACCAGACACTGCAGCTGCCTGGGCCATCTGTCCACAGGGAGGAGCTGGCCACAGGCTGCAGGGCCTGACCAGGTCCCCTGGGAAAGCAGCTCCCTCACAGGGCTGGTGTCGGGGCAGGACAGGGAGCAGGCCCAGGGCTCACAGGACCAAGGGAGTTCACTTCCTCCAGCCTCCTGCTGCATGGTGTGCCAACTCTTTTATTGTTTTCCACCGAGAAGAAAGAGTCTAGGGGCCAGGCTGGTGGTGTAGTGGTTAAGTTCATGCACTCCACTTTGGCAGCCCGGGGTTTGCGAGTTTGGATCCCTGGCACGGACCTACACACCACTCATCAAGCCACGCTGTGGAGGTGTCCCATATACAAAACAGAGGAAGATTGGCATGGATGTTAGCTCAGGGCCAATCTTCCCCACCAAAAAAAAAAAGAAAGAAAGAAAGACTCTAGACTCTCCTGCCAAGAAGTTTGAGGAGGGTGAACTGCCTTTTGGGGAAAGGAGTATTCCTGGGGCTGTGGTCCTGGGTAAGGATGGCAGTGCCCGATTCCCTTGGTCTCCGGGGGGCAGGAGTCCTCGGTCGGGTCGAGGCCAGCTCATCAGACAGAGCTTCAGGTCTTGTAACAGCTCCCGGTCTAAGATCCTGTGGGTCCACAGTGTGAGAGCTATTCTGCCACCATCCACACGACAAGCGACGTTGGAGGCTTGTGCCCCCTCATCCCAAAAATGCGGACCCAAAGAAAGCTTCCCACATGTCCAGGGCTTCAAAGGGCGTCCAGGACGGTCCAGGGGCCGGCGTGCCTGGTAAGCTCTGCGCTGAAGCCCAGGCCCACGCCCTCCTGGAGCCGAGGCAGGCCACCCTGCAGGCACCCTAGACGACCCGCTGCCCTTCACCCCGGCCTGCCCAGCCGGTGCAGTGCTCTCCAGGAGCCGCCCACTGGGCGCGGGTGAGGCACCCACCCCCCCCCGGGGCGGGGGCAGGCTCCAGCTCCCGGCAGCACGTCC